AAGAGGCAGCTCAGGGGACTAGCAGGGGATCTGGCTTTATTCCTAGCGTGGCTTTATTCCTAGGTATATCCTTAAGGCAGACTGTCTACCTACTAATAAAACTACAAATAAGACTTAAGACTACTGATCACATATGCCAATTACTTGATGCCAGTTTCTCTTCCTTGTTCCTGGCTGAAAAAATCAAATTAAAGTGAAACTGCATTGCTGATACTGATCTTCTGTATAAACAAGATTTGGTATAGGAGTACTGCATGAGTTGGAATTAGGTGATCAGGAAAGGGGGCAGAGGTGAGAGACGGTGGTGAGCTAGGGAGCTGAAATGACTTTTTTTTATTCTAGCTCTTTCAAAGCACAGTGCCCCTTCTGTGGCTATGGCCTCTGACTCAGGAAGGTTCAGGGTGGAGGGGAAACCCCTAGCATTGTTTTCATAGTTGTTTCCATATCTTAATGCTGTTTACTTGTGAGGACCGTGACACACCTCTATGACCATGTGGAGGAGGAGTATTTTGTAACCTCACTTCTTGAGTGGGTGTCTGGTGGTTGCCTCCCTTATACTTTATAGCTGTCCTTGCAGCCGTGTGCCGTTGCATCATTCCTGATAGGCATGTTAAATATCCGTTAATAGAATAGTCAAGTAACCTCATGAATTCTTATCTTTACTTGACCATTCTATAATTCCCGGGGTGGGGCTGTCAGTTAGCACATTCTGGCTGCACTCTTAAGCAGCCCCCTGCCAATCTGTGCTGCTGCCTCGATCCTGTAGAAACAGGAAGACGCTACTGCACCGTGGAGGTGGATACTTACATCTTTGCAAAAAATTGGTTTAGGGTTCCATATTTACCAAGAAATCTGCTTGTCACTCCACTGACATATGGTCAAATAGATGTTTAAATTTTGCATGAACATGCCTGGAAACAGTTCCCGGGCCAAAGTGCTACTGTTTTGCGAGATGAAGATGTAAGCTAAAGAATACAGAAGTGCCATTTAAGATGTGGGACAGATCCAACACGTCTGCCTTTGTTTTTGCTGTTCACTTGTGAATACCGCCAAGCTTTTATGTGCTGCAGATACATTTGGGGCTAAGATTCATGATGTTGTTTGCAATGCAAGGCCATTACAAAGTGCATCATTTTTCATCTTTTCCCATGTCTTGTTCTGTTTTTTCCTTTCTCCCCTCCCCCTGCTCATACGCCCTCCCTGATTCTAGCAGTTACAGTAAGTGCTTGGTTGAGTTCCAGGGGTGAATAGGTCAGTGTTTTATCCGCTCATCCTACAACCTCACTGAAGCGTTGTGGCTTTAGAGAGGTCTCCTCAATGGATGAGGTGTTTAGCTGTCAAATCTCACTCTGGCTATTTGATTTAGAGGGAAACTGTTCCTAAGTGCTTGTTTGCCCACAGGTCACTCTGAGTTTTCATAGGGGTTAAAAAAACAAACAAACAATGAAGCACTTAGCAGGTGTAGGTCTGTGTTATGAATAGTTAGAATTCCTCTGGGAGGGTACAGCTGCTGCAGGATCTCAAAGGCTATTCTATATAAAGTAAGTTGGATGTTTTAGTCTGAGCTTTTATTT